TCCCGCCAGGTCTCAGGGAAAGTGCCAGTCTCCCAAAGCGAATTGAAGGTTGCTAGCAGCGCCTCGAGGGCAACTGCTGGGAGATGACGGAGCATGTCGTTGTGGACAGCATCCGGACCTTCTGAGACGCTGCGCAACGAGCTGATGGCAGACGTGAGCTCAGCCATAGAGAAAGGCTCGTTGTACACCAAATTTTCAGCTGTGCTGAAGTCCACGGCGGCTGGTGCAGGTCGTGAGGACGGCTCTCCTCGGCAGCGCTGATAGAGTGCACGACCTATCGTCTCTGCGACGTCTGAAGGGTGAGATATGTCCGTGTTGTTCACTCTTAAAACCGGAAGCGGAACAGAGCTGAACCGGCCTTCAATGCGCTTCATGCGTGCCCATATTTGGGTCGTAGGAGTAAAACGGTTTAAGGAACTTACATAAGTGCGCCATGAAACAGCCTTTGCCTCCTTTAAAACGCGTCGGGCAAAAGCCCGCGCTCTCTTAAAAGCGATGAGGTTCTCAGTAGTACTACTCCGGTCAAACTTTCTAAAAGCGCGTTTCCTGGCACGAATCGCATCTCCGCATTCCTTGGTCCACCACGGGACCGGAGGACGACGAGGCTGACTCGACGTCTTGGGTATGCACCCGTTTGCGGAGTCATTGAGTAAACATGTAAAATCCTCTGTAGACATCACAGAGGCGTCGGCTCTGGCTAAAACAGAGGCCTCTACAGCGGCCTGGAATTCGCCCCAGTCGGCTTTCCGAACATTCCACCTAGGTGGACGGTTGCCCGACACTGGGGACTCCTGGTGCTCCAGCCACACTGGGAAGTGGTCGCTCCCGAGTGGGTCGTCATGGACGGACCAGGTAAAAAGCTGAGCTAGCCGCGGACTGACTAAGCTCAGGTCCAGAGCCGATGTTTGACCGGAGGGTGCTGTAAAATGGGTGCGCTGTCCTGTATTTAAAATACACAGCGCCTCATCGCGGATAAAAGATTCTAAAAGTCGACCACGAGTGCCAGTCGTGTCGCATCCCCACGCCAGGCTATGGGCATTAAAATCGCCGACTACCAGGACCGGAGGTGGAAGCTCATCGACAAGTCGATGAAGCTCAACCACCGGGAGCGCTATACCTGGTGGAAGGTATAAGGAGCACACAGTCAGTTCCCGGTGGTTGAAATCAACTCTGGCGGCCACCGCCTGCAGGGGAGTCTGCAGCGGCACCTGGCGCGCAGGTACGCTGTGGTGAACCGCCAGAAGCACACCTCCATGGGCAATGGTAGGGGTGTCCAGGTCTCTCCTAAAAACAGAGTAGCCCTTGATGGCAAGGGTGACATTTGGCGCAAGCTTGGTCTCCTGGAGACCTAAAACAAGGGGTGTGCGCCAACGGATAAGAGACTGTAGGTCCTGGTAGTTGGCCCGGAGGCCTCTACAGTTCCACTGTAGAATAAAAGGCGTGGTTAAAAAGGCGCAAAAAGGGCGCGTATAACATGAGGCAAAGGCGCACGCAGATACCTGACTGACCACAAAAAAGGTAAAAAACACCGAGAGAAATGCACCTGGTAAAAAAGCGCAATAGCGCGAAAAAGATAAAAGGATAAAAGAGGAAATGACTAGACTGAAAGACTAGACTAGGTCCTCTAACTCCGAGGAGGCGCTCCCCCCGTAACGGATGCGGGGGTGCCCCGAGCCCTCTCGGTGAAGCCTCCCTTCAGCGGAGGCAGATCGGGCGTGGCTCGAGCCCTGCTGGGGCTTTTTCGCCCGAGGGGCGTCACCCTCCGAGGGCGACCAGCTCGGGGGCGTCTGCCGCTTGGCGAGGCGCCCTGGAGCCGCGGAGGACTGTTGCCGCCCCGACGGGGATGTCGAGGCGGCGGCCTGTGTCCTCGACACAGGCGTCTCTGGCAGCGGCGGTGGTGGCCGCCGCTGCGGAGGTGGAGGAGGCGGCGGGGGACCCATGATGGGCCGAGTCCCCGCCTCAGGTGTCTCCGGGGTGTCAGCGGCGGCGGCCGCGTTGGCACTCCCGGAGGCGGAGTCGGCAGACGAGGCTTCTTTGGCCTCGAGGGCCTTCTGGACGAGGCGAGCCCTCCTCGCCTCACGTGCCCTCCTCTCCTCCTCCCCCCGCCGCAGAGCCTCCTGCACCGCCGTAGACGGTCGGGGGCGGGGCGGGGTGGGTGGCGCCTTACCCTGCGCCGGGGGGCGCCGACCACCCTGTCGGCGCTGGACGACGGTCCACTCGTCTCCACTCGCGGCTGGAGCCGGACTGGGTGGACCCCACACTGACTCCTGAGCAGCCTGCTCCGTGTCGCTCGGCGGCGCACGAGGCGCCGGGGGGTCCGCTGAGCCATCAGTGGCTACGACAGTGAGGCCGAATCGCTTGAGGAGCTGCACAAGCTGTGCAACACTCATCTGGGAGGGATCGGTTGAGTTTGTCACTCTCACCTTTTGGGCATACGAGGTCTTCGGGTGAGTTTGGTTATACACCTCCCGGGCCTCTTTAAACGAGAGATTTCTGGTAGCCTTGATGGTGTTTATCTCCTTCTCTTTGACGTATGTAGGGCAGGACCTGTCATACGCGGAGTGCGGTGTCTGCCCCTCTCCGCAGTTGACGCATCGAGGGGTTTCCGAGCTGCACGTGTCGTCAGTGTGGTCCTGGGAAGCACACTTGGAGCACACGGGTTTGCCTCGGCAGTTGTCCTTCGTATGACCAAAACGTTGACAGCGGAAACAACGCATGGGTGCCGGGACGTAAGGTCGCACACGAACCCTCACGTACCCCACGCGAACCTCGCTCGGCATGTCGGTGGAGTCAAAGGTTAAGATAATGTTATTCGTGGGGACCGTGCCTCTCCTCGCCAAGATGCGGTGTGCTGCTGTGACGCCAAAGTCGGCGAGGCCGTCTGCGATGTCGTCATTGCTCACGTCTCTGAGGTCAAAGCAGTTGATGACCCCTCTGCTCGAGTTCTTTGACCTGTGCGGCTCAACTGAGAGAGAGACAGAGACCAGCTTCCTGCCGGAGGCCCGTCCCTCGGTATACACAAATCGGGTGGCGCTTAAGGCTTTTGCAGCCTCCTCACTTTTCTCGAATTCGACTTCCAAAGCCCCATCGCGCATCCGATCGCAGCGGAGGATCTTGCCGAGGCGGTCGCAGCCGTCCTTCCGTTGGAAGGGGGACAGCGCACCCAGCTGTTTGTCACTGCTCCTTAGGATAAGGATCTTTGGGTTTCGAGGAACCTTCTCGTGTGACGTTCGCCCGCCGGCCGAGGCCAACGGGCGAGAATCGGCCGAAGCCGAGGGGTTGGATTGAGGGGAAGGGGGGTTGGTCCGGTCATCCATGTAAGTGTGCTTGGTCTCCGCCAGCTCGGCCGCCGACGCTCCGCAACGGCGCCGCTACAAGGCCTAGGACGGCCGAGCTGACTGTACGGGACTTGGCGGCACCTTCCGAGGGGGAGAGAGAGACTCACCACCCTCCACGGTCGGATACCGCCTCCTCCCTTGACGCCTCGCCGAGTCACCGCCAGGGGCAGCGACAGATCAGTCCCACCGACGGAGGACGAGCACAAGTGCCCGAACCTCGCCGGCGACACCTCTCCAACACCACCCCCGGCGGCATCACGACTGGGAATGGCTCCTCAAGTGCGGCGCCCCACTGAGTGTCCCGCCCTTACAGAACTCAGGGCCAAAGAGGCGTGTTGCCCAGCCACCGCGACTGGCTCCGCACGGTGGGGGGCTCAACCTCCAGGATCCCGTTGTCCTGGGGTACGGGTCGGCTCGCCTAGCCTAGTAAAACCGGCTGGTACCCGAGGGGACGCCACTCCCCTTACACTAGCCCAACTCGGCTGTGTTCCTGCGGGTGCAAAAACAACGAAAAAAAGGGGGAAAGGAATCAGAAAGCTGTGATCGAACGAAACGCAGACATCCGGTGAGAAGCAAAGCAAAAGCAAACAAAGACCGCTCAAGAGAAACAAAACCACGGAAACCAAGAAAAGTCGGGCCGTACCATCTGTCCATCCAGTGATCAAAAGCAAATCGTAAGCAAGCATGGGTCTAGCTGGGGCCGAGGGGGCGCTACTCCCCTTGCTGGCCGAGGCCAGGGCCGCCGCGGGGCGAGGGCCCAAGGAGCCCAGTCCAACAGCGACCCAGGCCACTGCCAACCCCCTGCGGGGCCAATCCTGCAGACAATCCATCCGGTAAGCAAGGCAAGTCCAGGTCAAACGCGCGTCAAGCTGGGGCCGAGGGGGCGCTACTCCCCTTACTGGCCGAAGTCACAGCCACCGCACAGCCGGAGCCCGATGACCCCGGCTAAGCAGCAGCTCTGACCACGGTCAGCCCCCTGCGGGGAAATAAGAAATAAGAAAGTTTGCAGTGGTACTTTAATTTTGCTATTGTAAATGTTAATGTGAATAGCTGAAAATAAAGGTAAATTTTACACTCATAAGGCATATTTCACAAAACCCTTGTAATTCATTGAATACAACCATAGCCTAAACAGCAAACTGGGAGATTTCACTAATGACTAAGTGTAATCTTTACATTAGGTAAGGTAAGTCAGGTTAGATTTGGTTTTGTTACTTCTGCTTGTAGTGTATCTGATTTTTTTTACATTAAATGATTTTATGAACAATTTTCTAATATGTTTGGGACAATATGGTGTGGTTTTTAGGTATAAGTAAGCCTGGCATCCCAGGAAGATGCCAGATACCGTTGTAGGTTACAGGTGTGTAGGGTAGGTTGTAGGTTTGTAGGGTAGGTTGTAGGTTTGTAGGGTAGGTTGTAGGTTTGTAGGTCGTAGGTTTGTGGGTTGTAAGTTTGTAGGTTGTAGGTAAGGTTAGGTCAGGTCACGTTAGGTTTGTTTTGGTCTATATATCTCCGTCGTCCCAAGCTGGCATCTTCCTGGGATGCCAGGCTTACTAATACTGGTTTTTATTCAATTTTGAGATTAGGGTACAAAAGGATTTCACCACAATTGCAAAATAATTGGCTGGTGCCCACAGCTAGCAATATTAAGGACCAACTCACCTGAATTTTAGGAGCAATCTGCCTGCAGGGGCCGCACCATGTGGCATAAAAGTCCACCACCACCAGCTTGTTGCCAGCCTCTTTCAACTTGTTCTTGAATTCATCCTGTGGAAGCAGATCAAGATGAGAATGTTTAGCATCTGCATTTTCAGACATGTATGCATAATCATATTTTCAACAAATTAACTGCCATTCTGTGTTGCCTCTCTGTATATCTGAAAAGAATATCTGCTTGTCGCCCCACTAGTTGTAGTGTCCTTGTCCTAGGGCTAGAATTGTTCTGAACATACAAGTCGAGATGTTCAGTCTGGCTGACCTGGCATGGCTTCTCAACAAAAACTGGTCATACTCTGCAAAAAAGCTGAAAGCTTCTTACCGTTGACTGAACCTGAGTGACAGACATCGTGGCTTTTATCAATGATCAGATGAGTTCCAGTCGGGCACCCACACCCTCGACTTCTGAAGCGTCACTGAGAGAAACTGAATCGCTAAAATTACTTGCCACAAGCGCGCCAATCTCCCTTCGCAAACTATTTAAAAAGTACCTTACGATGACAATAATAATGACGTCACAGGAATCCTTTAGTTGACCAATGGCGGACAGGTATTTATTGTGGAGCACTGTTTGCCAGCAACAAAAATGTCAATTTTGTGATTTTTTTGCAATGAAAATAACAGAGACTATTTTTTAATCTTCTCACATTCAATGTTACAAAAACAATGCTTCATCAACGCTAAATAATAAATAATATTGATGACGTCAATATAAAATATTTAGTTTTGTAATTTACCAAATCAATTCACTCAAAGTTTTTAAATCCCGAGTAAAATTACAAAGGAGAATAGAACGAATAGAACGAAGTTCAGCCTGCCGTGAGTCGTAATCATAACCTGTCAATGATTTGTTCCACCGAGAGAAAGTCGAACGATAGCAGTAGAGAGAACGGTAGTGACCTGAAATTATAACCAGGGCTGCGCAGTCGATGGATTTTCGGCGACTCCGACTCCGACTCCGACTCCGGCTGTCAAAAACCAGCTCCGACTCCGACTCCGACTCCGGGCAGAATTGTCGACTCTGACCGACTCCAACTCCCGACTCCGACTCCAGGGCTGCGGAGTCGACAGATTTTCGGTGACTTTGACTCCATCTCCGGCTCGTGTTTCTAAAATCGACTCCGACTCCGACTCTGACTCCGGTCACAACTGTCGACTCCGACCGACTCCGACTCCGACTCCGACTCCGACTCCGACTCCGCAGCCCTTTATAACCATGTGTTAAGTTGGAACAGCCTGACGACAGTGCGGGCGGTGCGGCGCGGGAGGAGCTGTGGATCGGCCAGTTCATCCTCCAGGATGATAATGTTCGATTTGACCGCTCGGTCTGATTAGCTTGCGGAGGGTGTGATAAATCCTGCTCGTGCTCCGTGACCTGCCACCAAATGTCATTGGCATTGCCATACTAGCAAGGCCTTGGCAGCTTGGCTGCTTTCCGCATCCCGCCCGGGCGCACGTTGCTCGAGGATCTCCAGGGTCGCAGACAACAAGCGCCGCTACGGGGCTAGGTGTCAGGCCGGTCAGGCCGGTAGAGCCCGCAGACCAAAGTGGCGCCCCTGCGGCCTGCATGCCTGCAGTCCACCGGCAGCGTACCAGCGGATGATGGCAGCACACACCCCTCCGGTATCCGAAACCGTTGCAGAATGCTAATGTTTATATCGACCCCTTTTTTTAAACCCCACATCTGCTCTCCCGTGAATTTCCGGGAGGTACGAAAGATCTCCTTTTAAAAGTGTCCAATCGTCCGATCCTGATCAAATATGTGTGTTCGTAGGCCTGTTCTGGTATTGCTTTATCTGCCAAGACAGACAAACTTGAGAAAAATCGAGTGATTTTACCTTTTTTGAAGGTCTCTAACCAACTTGTCTGAAATTCACCGGAGAACAAATGTGGGGTTTAAAAAAAGGTGTCGATATTTGGTGTTATTAGTGTGAATGCTGAATGCGCTCGATAGGCGATAGCCTGAGCCACATGCATTTCACCACTCACACCTGGCAAAATATTACTGAAGAAGGTCTCAGGTCTGCACATGTATTTAAATCGCGTTCAACGGCGCCACAGCGCATAAGCTATGTGTTCCGGCCGTGGCGGGAACGGAACAGTCGCGGTCGGCGGAGACGGGATGGCAGTTGACATCAGGAGCTAGGCACCGTTACAACACTGTGCCGTCCAGGCAGCTGCGCGAACCCGATGGCCCTCATCCGGTCTCTAGCAGCCCCTGAAGTTAGGTCCGCTGCGCTGTCGGTCGTAGGAGAATGTCGTGGACCTGAAATGACAGTAGACGAATCTATAGAGGCGACATCCTGTGACCGCCGGCATGGTATTGCAATTTATCAACAACGAGCTTGTGGCTGCTGGTCAAGGGTGATTATAGCGTTAACTCGATTAACTCGTTGCGTTATCGAGATAGAATTATTGCGAATATTTTCTGATTATTGAACATGAAATGACAAACTCAGCACCCCGTTGATGCACGTCTGACGACGGCCGCCGTCCTCCAGATCAGAGTGGACCGAGCTATTTCCTGGACGGACGAGGTGGTGGATAGCTGTTTGTCGTCTCACCTGGAGCTCCGGTGGGGTCGACAGGATGTACAGCACGGCGTCGGCAATGTTCTTCGCCTCGACGCCCAGCTCCATGACTCGACCCGGCTCGTTGTGTGCCCGGGCCGCTATCTCGGTCTGCACCAGACCCGGGGATATTTGCTGGGAAAAGAGCGTGTTACCGTTTAATATCGTGACAGTCGATATTATTGAAAATAGGGCAATGATAAAAATGGATATGCATTTTTAACAGCAAATTTTCAAAATGTCAATTATGCAAATATGTGCACTCGCAAAGCGATGTCATCCAGTGTTGTCATCTAAGTTTTGACGGGTTTTAACTACAGGAAGGGTCGAATCATCGTTTTAAAACGGTGTGCCGATGCTGTTAGATGGCCTGAGCTACGGGTAGGTTGGAGTAACACCAAACGCTAGTTTGAATGCATCGCGCCAAGAGCCCTATAGACCTATACATACGGCCACGCGGATTTTGGTGGGCGGCTCGGCAGCGAGCTCCTGACGCAGGCCCTCGGTTAGTGCCGTCATCGCGTACTTGGAGGCCGCGTAAAAGTGCACGTCCGGGTTCGGGGGCACCCGGTGCCCGGAGAGACTGCAGATGTTGATCACCTGCCGGCGAACGGCGCGGTCAGGGTCATCGGGACACAGTGGACGGGGCAGTGCACCTCTGCACGGACACTGGCGCGCTCTCTCCGCGGCGGCTCGGCTCACCTGTCCCTCGTCGACGTTACGGTCGCGCATGCTGCGGATGGCCAGCTGGGCGCAGTGCGCCACGGCCAGCACGTTGACGTTGAGGATGGTGCGCCACTTTTCCACGTCTCCGTTGAGCAGCGAGCCGGTGAAGTAGAGGCCGGCGTTGTTGACGCACACGTCGATGCCGCCGAACTGTTCGCGGACGGTGGCGAACAGCGTCTCGATCTGGTCCGAGTCGTTCAGGTCGCAGTGGAAGGCCACCAGGGAGCCGGCCTGGCCGGCCAGCTCCACGGACAGCGCCTGGGGGAGATCGGGCGCGCGTGATCCAACGACTTACTCGGTGGAACGAAAAGTGATTGGACGGTACGTGGTTAATTCAAATTTAATTTGTTCATTCACGTAAAAAAATCACTTCGCGCCTCGCGGAGAGTTCATCAGCTCGTGTTCACGGAGAGAGAGATCGTATTCATTTCCCTTAATAATAACAATGTTGTTTTAACGGTGTACAACCTTTAGGCATAGACAGTAACTAGTAATCAGAAACGGGTCCGAACCTCAATTTGTTTGTCGTTTCTTGCGCAGCCGATGACGATCATACCATGTTTGACGAGCTCCCTACAGATGGCGGCACCGATACCGACACTGGCACCGGTGACCAGCGCCACCCTTCCGGCCCACCGGTCCATCAGGTTACCCTGGGGGTCAGCACATAGGTCACACAGGTCACCAGCGCCACCCTTCCGGCTCAGCGGTCCATCAGGTCACCCTGGGGGTCAGTGCAGATGTCACACAGGTCCCTTTCCATGACTCTGAACTCTGAACTCTGAAGGGTCAGGTGATACCGTCACTCTGAACTCTGAAGGGTCAGTAAAAGGTCATTGTCACCAGCGCCACTCTTCCGTCCCACGTGGGACGCCTATTGTCCCAGGCCAGGTGACGCTTGGGTTCAGTAAAGGGTCGCCGGTTATCAGCGCCACATTTCCGGCCCAGCACTCCATCAGGTCACTTTGGGGGTCAGTACAGAGGTCACAGGTCACTTCCCGACCCAACGCCCCATCGGGTCACCCTGCAGGTCAGGATAGGGCCGGGGGACAGGGGCGTCACCAGCGTCACCATTCCGGACCATCGCTCCATCGGGTTGCCCTGAGGATCAAAAGGTCACCGGTCAGCAGCGCCATCCTCCCGGCCCAGCGGTCCATCAGGGCATCTCCGAGGGTCATTACAGGGTCACACGGTTTCCGGCCCGTCGGTCCATCAGGTCACCCTGGGGGTCAGCACAGGGGTCACACAGGTCACCCTCCTGGCTCACTGCTCCATCAGGTCACGCTGGTGTCAGTAAAAGGTCACCGGTCACCAGCGTCACCGCCGCGGAAGCTCGGGTGACGATGGTGGTCTCTGACACAACATGTGAATGTAAAACAATCTACTTCACAGTTCACAGCGTAGACAAGCCTACAGTATCATGCTTACGAAATCGAGCGATAAAAGCGATTGCGACCGCGTACATCCGCAAAGGGCACTATTTCATCACTATCGAAGACGTTTGCCTCTTTGGCATTGTTTCCCCTCTGAAACTTGTAAGAAGCTTCATTTGTCTAAGCATATCAAATAAGCACATTGAAACGGCGTCGCCACCGATGACTTTAAAATCAAATAAAATTTAAAAATATAAATCGCCTGACGCCTAGTGTCGAACTGGAACACCACGAGCTGATCAGTCGAACGAGCTCGGCCTCACCCGTCAGGTGCGTCTCGCGTAGCTCCAATACTTTTGGCCCGGGACCCAACCGACCGGCGACGATCACCTGCCAAACTGCTCACCGCTACGTGTAAGCTAGCCTGCGCTGCTCACGCAGCCGTAGGCGCTGCCTGGCTCAGGGGCGTTGCTATGTGAACGCGATAACAAACAGTTGTTTTGCGCATTTAAGCAGACCACCAGCGGTTTATCAGGTCAGGGTAAGCTGTGAGGTGATCTTTGAGTCAAAAGTAGGCGAACCAAGGGCATGCATCAGTGGTCGACGTGCATCCGATATGCGGGATCCGACCTGAACGTGCACCTTGCGTGCACCGCCACTGGACCGTAGCCGATTGGGATACGCCCAGATAATAAACACTTGGACTTTTGTCGCTGACGGTAGATGTCGCTAGGAGCCATGTTCTGGCTATCATCTCTAGATGTCGCTAGCTGTGACTGTCTTCTTCGATGGCTGATAGATGTCGCTGGCGTATCGAAAACCGTGTCTTGACCTTAGTACTGATCGGTACTGATATATGTACTTCTCAGTTGTTAATTTTCCCCCCTAAAGCCTGTTTACATTCAACATCGAGACAGCATTACAAAACTTATCTTGTTTATGAGACTTCTTTGGCCTAGTTTCCGACTTATCCTTGATGATCTTTTTCGCTCAAGGACACCTACCTCGAACAGCTGATCAAAACAAAGGAGATCGTAGGAAAACATTGCGCAGTGGCGGCGTCGCGCAGAATGCGCATTTCGATTCAGAAGGGAACTGGCTCCCATAGAGTAGGGATGGGTTCCTAACTGATGCTGCCAGTTTTTTAACATTGAAGATTCCATCAAGAAGAGTCTGAAGTAAATTGCAGATATTGGGACTGAGCAGTATCACGCTTGAACCGTGGAGGTGTGGGGCTCAATCGTTCGGTGAGTACCCATGTCAGTAATGCTTTCGTCTCTAACTTCGCTTTTTCTGTCTGTGTCTCCAAATGTGTTGTATCATCGAGATTCTGGTACTGTCACTGGTTTGCGTGCCTTAGACTTCAGAGCCAGTGCATGCGAGAAAATATGATCTTCGGTGTTGAATGGCAGCCAGAGTTCCGCCATGATGGTTTTGGCGGTTACGACGGTTACGACTATGCCTACTCTGCGTAACGTTAATGCGAAGTGTGAAAATTTGGAAAGGCTTTTACACTATTCAGACAGTGGCCACCCAGTCATTGGTGTCAGTGTGCGCACGTGGTAGTCATGGCACTTGTGAGTTGTGCATCGCCGTGTTTTCTCGCGAGCACGTGTACCGCGGACCAGAGGCGCATTCAGGTCACCGTGGAATGGAGGGCACCGTCATTAGATTGGATCGCCGCTCTTTTGACAAACTATTATACCTTTAAATTTGTTGCCTGATAGGAAAAATGGACAGGCGCCAACCCATGTTCCTCTGAATGACCCATTTTGAAGTTTGGACTCCTCTGATCTGATCTTGCAGCCTTACTCAGACTTGACCTCAAGTTTTATGAAATTTGAGTTCTAATCACTTGTATGGGGGACTTTTTCTTGGCATGTTATGTGAACAGTGACTCCAAATAATGTGTCGCACAACCATAATACCCACCATATTCAACGGTCGGTTTGTGATGACCGGTGTCCTGACCTTGACTGTGACATTGACCGATGTATGGTGGGCCGCAAGCACACTTTCTTCGTAGGGTGCGTTGTGCATGAGATCCATGAGACGATGTTGTGCCGATGAGGCCTGCAGATGCCAAAAATGTTAAAACGTTTGATTTTGACTTTTGACCTGCCACGTGACCTTTACCTGACCCTTGACCTGCTTATTTATTGTTTGGTGAGTTTTTTTAGGTTAGGCAGGGGCAGACAGACCCCATTCCACGGAACTCGTTCTTTTGAACGTTCAAGCAGGCTTGGGTTTGGTGACCTCAAGAAAATAAGTAAAGGCTGACCATAGTTAAGACGACTTAACTAATATTATGAAACTCATTTTGCATACTCATTTTGACTGAAGGAAATCGGGCCCTCTGCTGGCAAGTTACGGCTGCTGACGCTCCACCATTTACGCTGTTTTTCAGCTAAGTAAATTTCATGTAAATCTCTGGAAAGTTTCCGTTCTCCACATTTGCATCTTATGTGGTTACCTTTAATCTCATTGACGTTACGGTTCAGGGTTCTGGGCTGGAAAAAAAATCTTCTGCAGTTTGAAAGAAAGTTGTACTTTCATGGGTGGCCGTGGGTTGTTTACATGTGACATGGATAAAATTACGTTTCTTGCATTGCTTCCTTTATACACCATCATATCTACCAGCCAACATAAGTATATCGGCCAGTGTATGTATTTTGAGATATTCCTCGTATGAGCTGAGCGGGCGCCTTCAGTGATCTGGAAGCCGCACAAAGCCGGTTGGGTCTGAGAACACCGGTCTGACGGGCGGCGGCTGACGTCGGCGGCGGCTCCGTCACGGCCGTATATACTGCAGGCACAGACGGCGCCAGTCGCCGGCCGGACCCCGGTACAAACACCGGGCACAAACGGCATCAGTTCCCGGCCGGATCCCGGTACAAACAGCGCCAGTCGCCGGCGGGACCCCGGCACAGACGGCGCCAGTCGCCGGCCGGACCCCGGCACAAACAGCGCCAGTCGCCGGCCGGATCCCGGCACCAACAGCGCCAGTCGCCGGCCGCCGGTACAGACGACTTGGACCGCAGTACAAACAGCGCCAGTCGCCGGCCGGATCCCGGCACCAACAGCGCCAGTCGCCGGCCGCCGGTACAGACGACTTGGACCGCAGTACAAGCAGCGCCAGTCGCCGGCCGGATCCCGGCACCAACAGCCCCAGTCGCCGGCCGCCGGTACAGACGACTTGGACCGCAGTACAAGCAGCGCCAGTCGCCGGCCGGATCCCGGCACCAACAGCCCCAGTCGCCGGCCGCCGGTACAGACGACTTGGACCGCAGTACAAGCAGCGCCAGTCGCCGGCCGGATCCCGGCACAAACAGCGCCAGTCGCCGGCCGGATCCCGGCCCGATGGGTCCTGGGGGCGGCGCTGGCCGTCGATGGGGATCGATGGTGGGCAGTGGCGGGGCGGGGGGAGGGGGCAGAGCGTCCGATCGATGTGATCCGCTCGGCCGGGCCCACCGCCGGCCAGGTACGGCCCGACCGCCGCCGAGCCGCACAAAGACACATACCGGTCATCGATCGGCGGCCCCGCGCCGACACCGCGCAGCTCGCCGGGTTTTGTCGCTGTACCGGGACTGCGAGGTCGCCAGAACGCGCGGCCTTCCCCGTCACTCCGTCTGACTGCTGCTCCCCTCCCCGTCCCCGTGCTGGCTGACTCTTACAGCCTCCCCGTCAGGGAAGTGGGGCCCGCGGCTGGTATTCATGTTCGGCGTCATCGGTCCCCATCAGAGGTGCCGTCTCGCCCGGCAGGAATTCCACTCAGACCGTGCTGCCGACCGTGCCATTGTTTGTTTGCGGCTGGCCGCGCGCTGAATATTGCTGAACGATCGGTATTCCAATGGCCACCTGGACTGGCGCTGTTGCAACGGGCGTGCCCTGCTGGTGATGTTCGTGAATATTACCGCGGTTCATTGTTCAAAAGTTCATTGCAAATATTTGGCAGTTTGATTGCTCATCCCACCCATTCATGCCTACAGGTGGCATGTGAATGTTTCAACGTTTTGTGTTGAACTCTGATAGTAGGCTTGTGGAATGTGGAGCGTCAATGGGCTGTTGCGCCGATTTCCATGGATGCTGTCTTTAGGATGGGGAGTTGAACTTGGAAAGAGCGATCTGTAATCTGGGCGAGCGTTAGCACCGTCGGCTATAGCAAAAACAATCGCTAGCTGGCTGGGCATTGAGGGTGTGTCAACGTCCATGCCATTATGCGTCCATAAGCTTCGATAGCACATCGGCCCAGCTGACTGGGACAGCCTCACGGCTTTTTCAGAATTGGCGAATGTTTCGGGCCTTGCATCATTCCTTACTATAAGCTGCATGCCGGGTGCATTAGGTAGAGGACCATGCAAGCGACTCAGGCTTCATCTTCTGACACCCGAGCTGCGGAATCCGATCTCCGGGATGTCGGAAGGTCCTGCTGCGGTCGCTTGGATCAAAGACATTCATTTTCATCTGGTGTAACCTAAACCCGGACCATACCGTTCGCCCGGCGCTGGTCGGGGCAACAGATGGTCGCCTGCGCCGCTCTGCCGAGCTCGGCTCGCGGCGCGGCCCGCCGCTCCGAACGGTCACCAGGGGCGGAGTGGAGCGCCGACCGCGCAGCCGCCCGGCCGCCACTGCAGGACAAAGAGCCGGCCGGCCGGCCGGCGAGCCCGGCCCGTGCCGCTGCCGGGCACCGGACGACCAGCCTTTGTTTGGCACGGCCGGACGGAGCGGTCCGTGTCCGCCCGGTGACCTGGCCGGGCAGAGACAGACCTCCTGAGGTCTTCACTTCTGAGAGGCGGGCCAGAGGGATAGTTGCCTGCTTTCTGACAAAGCTGTTGACGGTGCACAGAGGAATTGGCTGGCGTTGCAAAGACGAAGCTTTTTGTGCTTCCCAAGATTAAAAGATGCTTATAAAAGAGAGTTCCTCACAAGCGATTTTGAAAGAGTCGAGTCTCCCGTTTTTTGCGGGATTTCATAAATAACTCAACAAATAAAACATCGCCAGAAATCCGGGAAACCATTAGCAACCAGCCGCTCTAGGTCATAACAGTTTCATGCATCTCTCACAAATTGCTTTTACGTACTGAGTACTATTCTGGAAGGAGATATTTAAAGAAACAGGAGCATTAGGCTCCGGCATAAGCGCTGAGCAGTGCGGAGGCTGTGCAGCTGGCGTGTAGCCGTTCCCTGTCCGGTGCAGTGGTCATGCGGCCCTCCCCGCTCCCCGCTCCCCACTCTGCGGAGCCGCGGCCGGTCATCAGTGTCCAGCGCCGGCTCTAAGGACGGCCGGGGGAAGTGGCGGGCCGGTCGGCAGTGTCGCCTGGATCAGACCCGGTTTCGGACCGGGCCGCGGCGAATGCGACTCCACCGTTGCTGTGGGAACCGGCTGCGCCGCTGGCGTGGCCGCCGGTGCATGTTGGACCGCCGTTGACCCTGTGTGACGACCGGGGACCGCCGGAGGGCCGGTGAACCCGACCCTG